CCCCAAAACCCCAAAACCCCAAAGTTAGAAATCATTCAATAATATGTATCATAACTAATCATTAAATCAAGAATTAATTTGTAGATTATTTCATTTTTTGTTTCTCACGCTTCCTTTTTTCTATCCTTGGGCTGGACGATTAGTAGGTTTAATATTCTCTTTGCTTCTATCTAATCTAAAGCTATTATGGTTACTATCCTTATAGCCATCCATTTCATCCTCATCGTAGTCTTTTTGAGTCCTTTTTCCAATACTCTTCCCTTTCATTTATTGATGAGGAACTCTAAGATTATTATCAGATTTATTCATTGCGCCTTGCACTCTCTACCTTGCAAGGGCTTCTTTTTTCTTTTTAGTTAGATCACTCTCCATAAACGCAAAGACATTTGAACCACTTGAGTCGCTTTCATTTTCATCGTTGGAGTCCTAGTTTTTGCTGCTGTTATGATTCATTGATTAACTTGATATAGATTTCATCATTCTTCTTGTAATGATTGGTTATACTACGGGTGCTTTTATTTGTGGCTTAAATGCATTTTCATTCATTACAAATGATCTACTTTGAACTTGTGACTGCTACTATTGCTATGCTTATTTTTGAGATATCTAATCTTTTTTAATACCTTTTCTATTTCTAGACTGAGATTTCTTTTGCACTTTCTTAACTTCCTTCTTTATACTTGAGATGTTCAGCCTTGAATCATAGTCATTTTGGTCATCCATGCTATATACTTCTTTTCTATTGGTATCTGGATCTTTCAAGTCTGAAGACTGAATATTTTCAAATCTAACTGACAAGTTGTGAGCAACTTCGTTACCTTCCTATAACAGTTCGTTCAGCTCCTTATTAAATTATAATCCTTAATTGCTAGCCTAGAAGTTTTATTGATTGTCTCTTCCCTTTTAGTTATTATTAATTGGACTAATTGATTTATGCTTTGATATCTTAAAAACTGTTCTCCCATCATGATATTCTTCCTTCATTCTTTGCTCATTTATCTATGTGCATGACGAGGCTGAGTTACTCTAAATTGATTTCTTTTTGTTGTATTCAAAGTCTCTTGCCATTTTCTTAGAAATTCTTGCCATGACTCCATGTCTGTGTTATCTTTCCTCTATATACCTTTAGTCATGCTTGATTCTCTCATTAATCTCATTTTTAAATCCACTGCTACTTGACATATATTCATCCTCATTTTCGTTAAAATCCTTGTCAACAATATTATCTTGAGTAATATCTTTTTCCTCAAGAATAGTCTCACAAAGTTTAGCAGTCATTTTTGGTTTTTCAGAAGAGCTAATATCTTTTATTTCTTCGACTTCAGGAATAGCTCTTAACTTTTTATTGGCTAATGGAACGCTGTTATTATATTGATTTTCTTTGGTTTTCGAATTGCTTCTAAGTCCACTTCTACGTCTTAATACTCTTTAATTGGTAGTATCTTAATTCATAGATTCAGAAACGTTGCTCATTCTGTTATTTTTTAGGGCATAAGGAGAGTACATAGATCTATCTAACCCTTACACCTAAAGACTGTTGATTTCCTAATATTCTTGGTCATCGTCCACAACAAGATCGACAACTGTATCAAATATTTCTTTCTCATAGTATTCCGAGAGATCAGCTGTTAATTACTTAAGGTTTTCAAGCATTTAGACTTTATAATCTTCTGCTCCTCCATCCAATAGATGATCATATTCTGCTTCATCTTTTTACAATTAAGCTACTTTCTTATCAATTACTTCTTTAAGTTTTTTCAATTTGAGGTTACCTTAAATCAACATATTTGCATTTATCTCAATATATCTTCCAAGAATTTCCAGTTATTTCCAATTTGAGCATTTATTTACATCTACATAGTCTAGCACCTAATTGATGAATTCCTTAACAATAGCAACTTTTTTTAGCACCTCAGCATTTAAGTAGCATATTTAAAGCAAGAAATCTATGTTCAAATCTTTATTAAGTTTGAACTCTTTTGCAGCATTTTGGTTTATGTAATCTCTTGACAATAGCAGCATGAAAATTTTTGTGATCTAGATTGGATCCAATTCCTTAACAATATTTTGCATCAGGGCTTGCTGGGATCCACATCTAGAATCATCGCTATAGAAGTCCTCTTCATCAACACTAAAATCTTCAGATTCATCATCATCATCGTCATCACATTCAAATAGCCTTTTTTTATTATTCTTGGGTTTCTAAATTTGAGTTTAATTTGCACTCTTCTTTTTAACATTCTTGATTTTTTTAATTTCATTGTATTTCGATTCCATAATGCTGAATATGATCTTCATACATGCTCTAAGCATGATTTCGCATCTTTGCTAGGAAAACAACACAAATGACTTGAAGAAAGTGTTGAGTATTTATCGTACTAATGAATTTTACCAGTTGAATTTCTTATCAAACCACTAAATGATTAGTTAAGAGAGAAGGAATTCCATTTCCTCATTGTCAGTGTTGAGGGTTAGTTTTCTAGAGAATAGCATCTTACAAATACCTTCAATCGTAATTTGTCTAAGAATCTTATCCTTAATAACCATGTAATCCTCTACTATGATCTTTTATAACTTTTAAGTCTTTTAATTCACTCCATGAATAATCAGAGAATCTACACTAGACTTGAGAGCTATGATTTTATCTCTTAAGTTTTCTTCCATAATATCCTCCACTAATATTCTTTAGAATATCTTTGAGTAATTCTCGAAAAGTTCCTTATCAAGGAGGCAGAGCAGCCCAATACATTCAATTGCTAGAATCATATTATCCTTATCTTTAGATGATATAGTTGGTGCTATTAATGTATCGCATATTGATATCAAATTCTGATCATTAACATCTGCTCTGCACTGCTTTAAAAGAATTAGGCACATATTCAAAGCTCTCTTGTAGCTAAGTTTTTCCTTTAGATTAATCTCTTCGATTAGATTTACATATCCCTTGACCTTTCTCATTAGTACATTCAAGTCTTAGATCGAATAATCATCCTGCATTATAAGTTCATTCACGCTCTCTAGCTTGCTTTCTAATTTAGAGTATACTTGCTCTTTTTACTTTTTGAAATTAAAACTACCATCCTCACTATTTTCTTCCAATGGTTCCTTTATATCAGAAATAGCTTGCAGCATGCTGAGCGAAAACTCATCTATTCTTTGATCTAAAAGCTTTCTAGCAACCATTACCGCTATTCTACAGACATCATCAGAATCAACTACAAGTGACTCAAATGAGAATGGTTTGCAGTACTCAAGAATATCTTTTTGCATATTTAAATCACCAAATGCTCTGATTTCTATCTAAATGATTTATTCTTCTTGATTTTATTGTTCATTAATTTCATCAAAATCAGCTTCATAATCAGAAGAATTGTCACTGCTCTGCTACAATCCAAAGGACATCTCTTCATCAGAGTCTTTAAGTATGAATCTTGAATGCCTCAAGAAGTACTAATAATCTAGATACGAGTATCGAGTCTTGCCAATGTAATTAAACATCAAAGAAACTAAATTCCTTCTTGTTATTTCATCCTCAATTGAGAGTTATAGTGAGAATTTAAGCCATTCACTAAAGACAAGTCTATCAGGCATCATTAGTTCTTTTTGCAAGTCATCATTCTTGCTTAAATCACTCTTCATGTCGGGATTTTAAACTTTAATCATGGGTGGATTTTTTAGAAGGTAAAAGAAAATCTTCTGATACTATTCAAAATCTACTTAGATTTCATCTATCCTTTCAAGATACTCCTATTACCTATCTTTTTTATACATCTTTGTAAACTCAAAAGCGATTCTTAGGAATAGTATTTCTTCAAATAGCACAATTTCGTGATTCATATCATGGTCTTATTAATTCTAACTAATCCCAGCAAGGTCTCTAAGTCTCTTTAAGATTTGTTCAAGGTATTAACAAAGTTTAACCTCTTCTTCTCCAAGACAATGAAAAATGAATCTCATAATAATGAATGGCAATTGCATGTAGTATTCCTTCACAAACATCTTTTTACAGTCAATAATTTTGAATAGGTGACTCAAATCTTAAAGAGTCCCATCTTCATTAAAAAGTGATGGCTTTAAAAATTCAATGCACTGTTCCCTCACATTTTCATTATTATCTGTCAAGCCTTCTTTCATTATGAGCATTATTTATTCTTTGCTCTTGAAATGTTCTATTTAAATACCATTTTTACGGAGCTTTTAGAAAGCTAACTTTCGGACATCATCATCTTTGTCCCTTAAGCGCTTGCCCAAGAACAGTAAAGCTACTTCAGAGAAAGGAGATTATAGATGATGTAAGGCTGCTTTTCTCACATCTCTAAGTTTGTTGTGAGTCATAACATTCATTAAGTTCATAAAGAGCTAATCATTGGGTCTATTTTAGTTAGCCATATTAGCACAGAGCTGTACTCCATAAATTTAAATAGTGGATCTTGATGAATGAAGCATGTCTATAGTTGCCTCTATCAGTGAAAGTTTTAAATCTTGTGGAAGGTTGAGTCGATCATTTTCTACTAACCCAAAATTATTGCAGATTTGAGTAAGCATGAAAGCAGCTCTGTACTGTATTTGTGAGTTTATCTTAGTCATTCCGTAAATGGTGACTAATTGCTCAATTACACTGGTCATCAAAGAATTCACATCAACTAAATTAATATATAAGCATTATGAATAGATAAAGTTAAATACCTTTGCTTAGTTGCTAGTTTTTTGACATCTCTGAGTAAAACTTCTCAAGTAACTTATATACGCCCTTAATCATACTGTCCTTCTCATCTAGACAGATGATTCTGTCTAATAGATTGAGAAAAGAGTGCTTGAAGTACTTAAAGTATCTGTGCATTATTTGAATCAAAGCTTTCACATGCACTGATTTGACATTTTGAAGGCTATCTTCCATTATATCTTAAATAACCTCATTAATTTCTATGTTTATCTCTTATTAGAGCTATTATGTAGTTCTTATTGGAGTCTAAGTTGCTTATTTGGTTTAGGCTTTATTTTACTGTACCACACTCTTTCTTTGTTCAACTTATTAGATCTAAGTCTGCTTCTTTTTGGTCGGCATTGATCTCTTTAATTTAATTTGAATTTAAAAATTTGAAAATGCTATGTTATTAATGTCTCGCGGGGTTTTGGGGTTTTGGGGTTTTGGGGTTTTGGGG